TTCAAGATTGGCAAACTGATGAATTATAAATAATGAGTCTGTGGTTGTCAGAAACAGTTAAACAAAAGAGAAAGCTAGAGGACTTGAACTATAGATGGCTGAAGGGTAACCTTTATGTTAGCTGGCGCTAACTGTACTTTTTGTAGTTATGTGGCTCTTTATTATAACCCAATTATACATCTTAGAACCCATATTTTAGGCACATATGCTAAAGCATAATTAAAAAAAAGAGAGAGAAAAAAAGCATAATACCTAACGTCAAAAAGATATTTAGTTAATTACAAAAACATGTTAATAATAATATATAATATATTATATATTATAGTTATAATATAACCACCTTTATGTACTGTTTAATAAACGAGTAGGAGTGTTTTATCAGGTATAAAAGCACAAGGCGTAGCCGAGTGCTTTTATACCTGATAAAACACGATCTACGAGTTTTTTGAACTGCTTAAAACACTCATGAACAATTTATAAGATTTTGGTTCAACTGGAGCCACCATACACGTCACGAACATGGATTTTTATACTTCGATAGAGATTTGACGTCACGGGCATGCGCAATCAGATTCAATAGAAGCTCCCACACGTTGGATATTACGTGCCAAGGCAAAGACAGGTACGTTAGTCAAAGATCATTAGGGTTGACTATGACCTTGATGAAACTCTATGTCTTCATCTAAACTTGGATGCATGCTTCATCCCTGATGAAGTCATCCTCATAGTATTCGAGTGGTCTTTATATAAAGATCACATGTGTCTTTATATAAAGACACATGTGTCTTTATATAAAATCACTTGAATACTAATGAAGAGGACTTTATCTGGTATAAAGGTTCATGCACGTGACGTGTATGGTGGCTCCAATTGGACCATAAGCTTATGCATTATTAATGAGTATTTTAAGTTATGTTTAGAAGGTACATGCTATGTACATACTGTATGTGTATGTACTTTCACACTTAATGGGTATCACCATTCTCCTATAAGTTCGATCGCTAGAGAGTCACCAATACATACCGATATCGTTGGCTCTGAATTTTCCCACAAAAGTAGAATTGTGATACAAAACTTATTGCAATCTTGAGTCACCAATACAGGTTTATATTTATACTGTTGAAAGAAAATATATCCTGTATTGAATTGGTATTAGTCACTTTGTGTTATGCCCAATACAGGATATATTTTCTCTCAACTAGCTGCCAATATGAACCCATATTTGGGCTTAATATAGCAATAACTCATAAATATAACTAGCTATAAAATTATAATAGTTGC